TAATTCTTATTTTTTATTGGGGACGATCAGACAGCAGCTGCATCACTCCCGCGGCGTTTGAACTAACTCTCACGTTTCTCCATCTCCGTTTCATGGACTACATCATATCCTGTGGAGAATTGAATCATTGGTAAACCAAAAGAGCAAACTTCGTAATTGTTTTGATTCATTATTTTTTTAAATAAAAAAACTACTTTCGTTGTTTCCTAAACTGAAAATGTTTTAATTTAAAATTATGTACTGTCAGTTTAATTTTTTTGTGAGGCTTGGTGTTGTATGAAAGCATCGTCCTTTGTAATTTATGAAAAAAAAATTATGAAATAATCGTAACATTATCAAGTTCATTAAATCATTAAAAATGACAGTTTATAACGTATCGATATAGAACGTTGTACGTAAAATTAAATGATCCGAACAATGTCAGTGTTTATTCCTATCATTATTGTCTTTCATATAAAACAACACTGATAAAAAATTTAACTTGATTCAAAAGAAAAAATCTTGAATCAAGAATACCATTTTGAAGAAAATAATTTTCTTGTGTCAAGAGGAAAAATTCTTGAATTGAGAATAATTTCTTCACGGTGAGAAATTTCTATTATTTTTTATTCTGCATGGATTTTTAATTTTACAATGGTGCATATTACTAGTGAATCTTATTGACTCAGAATAAAATTTTACAATGGTCCATAGTAATTTCCGAATTTGTTTTGAAATCAGACATAGCAAACGGTAGAAATTAAAATGTACCATAGTGAAATGAAATATGCAATAATTTAAATTTCCGAATGTACTATAGCAAAAAAATAAGAAAATGTTTGTGAAAAATAAAAAATTTTAGAGTAAAAAATATTTTTAGCAATCAAAAAAAATATCAAACCAAACAAGATTTTTTTTTGTTTGTAATAATTTTTAAAAATATTTTTTTAAAATATAGTTTTTTTTATTTGTTTTTTATTTTTAATTTGAACGTAGGATTTATTTTGGCAATTAATTTTATTATAAATAATTATAAACACAATGTATAACTTTTAAATTATTTTTTATTATAATAATAATATATTATTAGAAAAGTGTCGGTTGCAGGTTAACCATCGAATGTTTGTTTTCATCTTAATTTTTCACGGTAAATTATTATATATTTTATTATTTAGGAATCTTACAACAAAGCAGCACGAAAAAATGAAAGAGCGTGCGTCGCGACTGACGCGCATACGTTTACTATGGGACATTTGAAAATTTCATAGTCACAATTTTAAATTTAAACCGAGTACACGTGACTAAATGTCAAATTTTTTTTATAAATTTTTATTGTCGACTGAGTAACAGAAATTTTACTATGGAACTATAATGAAAAGTTTTAAGCACACTCACAGTTTTTGTTCAGTCAGTTTACGAAAATTTTTTATATATGTTTATGTAACAGTTACATGGTCAAATTTACTATGGTCCCTAGTAAATATTGATTGGTACAATATGATATTCTTAAATTTTTATGGTAATATTTTGAATTGAGTCATTAAGGTTCAGTCTTATTATGTATGCATAGTAAATTTCTACAGAAATTTCTCACCGTGTGTCGGAACATCAATTTTTTGTTTTAGACCAAGTAGTCTGAGTTCTTTAACTAATTTATTAGCGTAGTAATCTCCTCTTTTAACATCTATATTAAAATCTCCTACTACTATGAGTTTACCCTTATCAATCATATCGTCTAACAAAGCTATGATGTACCTACAAAAATTACTAATCACACCTAAGTTTGGCGAGCTGTATATATTACATAAAATTACTGGTTCTTTGCCCTGTAACTTTATTATATTTAACCAGGTACCCTCAGTATAATCATCAGTATTCAATAATATTTCATACTTTAAATGTTGTTTTACAAACGTTACTACACCTCCAGTCCTGTTGCTATTTGAATCAGTGCGTACTATGTTGTATCCGGGCAGGCGAATTTCATGGTCCATCACATCCTCCTTGACATGTGTTTCTGTTAAACAGATAACATTTAAATATGATTTTAAAACTTAAATCTTGAAATAGTCTTAAAAAAATCTTAAAATCGTCTTGAAAAAATTTCAAAATAGTCTTAAAAAAATCAAGATACCTAATTATTAAAAAATCTCAGAATTTTTTTTTTTGGCATCTTAAAAGAGTCTTAAAATAGTCTTAGTTTGTGTCACGTTTAAGATCTTAAACGAAAGAAAGTTCAAGGGATAGTCTGCAGAGTAGACTGTTTTCAAGATTTTTGACGTGATAACGTCTTATAAATTGATGAACACCGGTAGCACGCACGAAAAAGTGTCCCGTTCCGTCTGAGATTGAGCGTGCAAGCGAGAGCGCGCAACGAGCGATAGAGTATAAATTAAAATGAATGAAAAATATTAAAAATTTTCATTCATCATAAAACAGATTAAATTTTTTGACCCGGGTTATTTTTAAAATTCTTTTAATATCAGTTTTCAACCTTACTTTTTGACGTTCCCTATGAAAAAAAAATATATTTCGAAATATGTAAAAAATATATTTTAAATATATTAAAAATATATAAATATATAAAAAATATCTATAGTAAATATATTTTTAATCACTAACTTTTGGCCGATTTTCATATATATTTTATATATTTTAAATATATTTTAGATATATTCAAGATATATTTTAAAATACATAAAAAATACATAGCTAAAAATATAAAAAATATATATTTTTAATATATTTTTTATATATTTCGAAATATATTTTTTTTATATTTTTTTTTTTTCATGGGGGTTGCTTTTTTTTTTTAAAATCAATATCGCTCGATATAATTATTACATTCTAGGTTGCATTAATTACCAGGAACAGTTAGGTATGACACAAAGCTCAAAGCACGTGCATATGATATTATTGATCTAAAATTTTTTTTTGCATTCTGCCAATGACCATCGAATATTTCGATGTCACTCGAATACAATTATTGTTCTTGGTATACATTAGAAATAAATTCAGATTCACTAGAAACTTTATGATACGTGTAAAATGTCCCAATCAATTTCTTAATAAAAATAAGTTCGTTACAAATAATCGAGGTCACAGTCAATTTTTGTTTTATTTGGATTATTTTTTTTTTTTTTGATTTGTTTAAAGTCGCATAAACAACTAAGGTCATGAGCGACTACGGTAGGGGGTAAACTTTTGAGATTGGAACTCGTTTGTATTTCTTGGGCTGAGCAGAATAATACACTTAAATATTGAAAATATTCATTGGTGTACGCCGGATTCGAACCCGGTCCAATGCTTTGATAGCAAGGGCCGGATCCGATAGGCTACTGCGCGCCTCCTTGGATTATTGTTTAAGTTGTTAACTTTTATAAGTAATAACCAATTCTTTTAGTTTATTAATCGTGATTTTTTGAGTTGCCTTTCTACAATCGGCAAGAGATACAGTGACAATTAGCTTTTAGAGTTACACTATCGAAAAGAAAGAAGAGATGTACATGCATGGTATGGATAGCATTACGTGTTACATACTATTGATTATTATCTACTTTTTTTTTTCAATGTAAATAGAGAAAACATTCGATTTCAATAGAAATTGAAGAATATCGATCTTACTGTTACTCTTTCCAGGCAAATAGAAATAACAATAATTTACAAGTTCAAAAAATGGTTTTGTTAAAAAATCAAACAATTATAGATTGAATCTAAGTATGATTAAAGTCATGAAAATTAATTATTTGCTGAGTATAATTAGACGCCTAACTTTCAACTATCAAAATGTCTTAATTTAAAGTAAAATAAACCAAATTTATAAACGAAATCAATTTGCTACCAATTCAAATTATTGCGAGACATGTATTAACCATAAATAATAGAAATCATAATTTTCGCCATTGTCACTGTATAACTTGCAAAATAATTTTTTTTTTAATCAATATTAGTTACAGTAGAAAAATATCTCCTAGGTAACAGCAGAAATAAACAAATAAATCGGCAATGCAGCAAATGAAGAGCCAATGCAAGCACAGAAGTATAGACAGTCAAACGATGCGCAAAAACTATTCTTTCTCTCATTGGTTTATTAATCAACCAATAGCAATGTTCCACAACCTCTGTTTGTGAAAATTTTCTCTGAAAAGAAGAAATCGCATGCGTACATCGCACTTCTAGCCTGTACAAAACAGATTTCTCTGATCACCCCTCTACTTTTGCGAAAAAACTTTTTGGTTACCAACGAACTACCACATAAAGTCACCGCCAACGAGTGAATCACTTCGACTTTTTCTTCCAAAGCAAAAAGACGTATTAACTTTTAACATCTCGCTAGATTTATTTTTTTAGCATAACTGAAATTAATATAATATTCAAATTATTCCTTTAAATTATTTTATACTAACATTAGATAATTTACCATTCTATTGCGTCTATCCGTAAACTTTTTTAATAATTGCAATTATGTTGATGCACGGTATCATTTTAAGCGTGTGGTTTGCAAGTGTTAATAGTGATCAAGTTAATATCTTCGATTTATCCGCTACAAAAATCAACCCTGTTTTGTATTCAAATACGGTAAGAGCTTATTTTTTTAGAACTTATTCACAAATTTAATTCGTTGTATCGATAATATGTGGTTACATTTTAAATAGACTGAAACAGTGTAACTTTGATTATTTGTTAGTTCGATACATGGAACAAATTTCTTATTGAAGATTATTGCTCAACCCCCGAAAATTAAGGGATACTATTCAGAGATATTTTTAACGTTTAATGGTAGTGAAAATAATTTTCATATTTTTATCAATAAATTTTAACAGAGGTCACTATAAAATAGATAGATATTTTTGTTATTTTTATTAAAAGAGTCGTAATAGACCAGGGATTGCACAAGCAATGTCTGACAATTATAACGATCCTGACCGACAATTTAGTTCCGTGTATACGTAATCAATAATGAAATTATTTTGAAAACTATTCAAAGCTTCAACTGAATAATTTGGTTTTGTTATTTATAGATTCAACTATTGGAACTGTGCTATCCTGGCGCATCGAATCCGGTCGCCATAACTGAAAACTTGGTAGACATCATGGCTGATGATCTAATCAACACAGTGAAATCGCCTATACTTGTAATTAATGAAGACTTCCTCCCGAGAGACACTCAACTTTATTATCCGACACATCCACTCTACATCCTGTTAACAGACACGACTGGACAACTACGGAACCTTCTAATGTTGCTGAAATCATCACCGTTTTGGAATATGAAATCAACATTTTTCGTTATCGGCAAGGCAAATAAATTTTGTCGAGACAGTGCTGCGATATTGAAAGAAATGTGGAAATTTGAACTATTGTCATCCTTCGTGGTGTGTTCCAAAACTAACAATCAAACTATGCTCTACACTTATAATCCTTATACCAGTCGAGTTCCGCTCGATTCGTGGGTTGCTGTTAGAAACAAAGAAAATTCTAACCGACGATGGACGCTCTATAAGAAAGCATTCATAAACGGTAAACTCTTTTTATTTCTTTTAATCGCAACGACTAATTTTATAACTAGTAAAAATTTTTATCTTTTCTCGCAGATCCAAGAATATGCAAGTCTTTCAACTTTGATAAAACTAAATTTATGAACGGTTATCCAGTGAAAATAATCAAAAGCGACAATATAGTAAGAACGTTAGAAAATCTTGTATTTTCAAGTTTAAACATGAAAGTAAAGGTTCATGTTCATGACGAAGTTCGTCATCGTTTTAAAATGGCTCATTTTCTGAATTTTGATGAAGACGATATTGTAATGGGTTTGTATAATACCCATGTATTATATAAGCGTGTGAATGAAATACCAGTGCTTTACGAATATAATTATCTAATAATTACTCAAAAGAGGTCATTTACATACTCTTTTCGTGAAGTAGTCGTTACGTTAGATTATCACTGTTTGGTCGGTTATCTATGAAGTTTCTGTTTTTTACCGCATGCCTCTTCATGTTTGTTGTTGAGCCTGCGATTGAATCTCAATTGTTTGCTCTATTAACACGACCACAATCTTATACCATCGAGAATCTTAAGGATTTGCATGATCATCATTATCATGTTTATTTTTACCGAGGGATTGAGAAATATTTTTTAAAAGAGCAATTGTGGACAACCCCTGAGGATATGAAATATCTTCATTCGTTAAAGCTATACGATTTTGAGGATTGTATAGAACTAGCTAGTAAAAATAATACTGTAGCCTGCGTATTTCAATCTGATGATATTTTAGAAGAAGCTGCAAAAAAAAAATCTACATATTTCCAGCAAGTTTGCTTTCGTAGTAAATTCATTCTACTGGTCTCGTAGAGACTGGGCTTTAAACGATCGAGTCTATGAAAAAATATTAAACATGGTTGAATCTGGTTTTGAAGATAAAATTAAAAGAGATTTAGAACGTAATGTATTAAAGACAATGAAAGCTAAAGATAGAATCAATCAACTAGATAATTACGATGAAATAAACGAAGCCAATTTATATCCCAGGTAGGAAAGAACAACTGGATAAGGCTTGGACCAAGCCTGGGCCAAGCGTCACCAGCCTTGGGTAAGGCTTGGCACGAGCCTTGGCTAAACATTGGGCCAAGGTTCGGTCCAAGCCTAGGATGATAACTATGTCCCCAAACCTTGGGAAACCAAAACACAAGGCTTGGGCCGAGTCTTGGGAAACAAATGGCCCAGGGTTCGGACCAAGCCTTGGGGAACTAATTTGCCAGGACTAAAAAAAATGCAAACATTATTAAAAAATTAAATTTGATTTTAATTGTATTCGTGATTTTACGGTTTATTATCAGCTTTATGTTATCGTATCTCGCGATCACACCAGATTACCTTGAAAAAATCTTTGCTCACGATGAGAATCGAACCTGGGTCACCCGCGTTAAAGTCTCGAACTGTACTGACTTCGCTGCACTTCGTAGTAACACTAACAGATTAGTTTTAGTTTCTTAAACATCACTCAGTCATTTTGCTTTATTACATGATATTCCATAATTAAAATTGAACTTATAACTGCTAAAAATTTTGTATAGTTCAGATAATATAATTTGTTGACAGAATACAGTTATGAAATGTATTTTTTTTAATTCATTTGATTTTAACGAAATAATTAAATTTTCTATTACCAAAAATAAATACATGATCATAATTGAGTACATCTAAATTAAGAAATTGTCACTTTTAATTTATAGAAAAGTAACTACTTAGTATAATTTCATTCAATAATTTTTTTTTACGAAATGTTCTTACTATTATTTAAGATAATGTGACTATAAATAATGAATAATTGAAGCATTTTTTAGCGTTAGATTTTCTTCATAAAAAATTAATATTTTTTATCATTGAAAAAAATTTTTCTATGATTCAATTAAAGCACCAAGCTAGTTCTGAATTTATATTTGGTCCGATAGTAACTTCCCAAGGCTCAATTTGGAAATATCGAACCATTGAGCCAAGTCTCAAGTAGTCTCAAGCTAGACCTGGGCCAAGCCTCGGGTGTCAGTGACTTTCCAAAACTATAGTTTCACTGATAGATATATTTGTAGAAGTAATTTGTATATGTATAAGTGTAAAATGCTGAAAGAGCGGAAAAACTAAGGATCAGGTTTCGGTCTGGTTATCTCAATTAAAATACAAAAATTATTATTAAGAATATCACTAGAGATTTATTTACTATAAATACACTCAATATTTAATATATTCAATAGCGGATTGATAAGAAAAAAGCGGATTTATAAAACACAGCGTGGATATCAATGCGAAGCCGGTCAGCACGTGGTTGAGCAAATTGCCGGCACTGTAAAAAACGGTGAAACAAAAGCAAATAAACACAATTTATCTGAAACAAACTGAAGCGAAATATTAGCGGTTAATTTAAGCAATTTAAATTATAAAAATAGCGAAATGCGTTTAGTTAACGATGAGCGAAATAAAATAGCGGGAAAGCGAAGCGTTAGACTTAATGGCGGAGAAGCGAAAGATAAAAAATAATAATAATAGTTCGTCTTCTTCCTCGTCTTGGAGAAGAAGGCTACAGCGCATGTCTAGCGAGAGCGATAGCCAATCAATAAATTCGTTCTATTGATGTCGACATCGATAGCCAATGGTAAAATTCGATACATGTGGCGTGATCAGTCAAGCGGTTTGCGCAAGCGGGTGAGAAATTGCGGGAACGATCGCTTGTCAGGTGCGTGTTGTAAATTTGGGGAGCCCACAGTGACGTATTGCTCATTGAGTGGGCCTGTTAACTGAACAATAAGAGAGTGATAAACAAACTTACTTGTTAACAATTTTTTTCAATATTTTTTTTTGGAGAGAAATAAACATTTTTAAAATATTCACAATATGTATCAGTATTAAATTTATCATTTTTTATTCACGTGGAAACTATTTTTTGAGCAGTTTCGAGAGTTTTATACATTTTTCAGCAACAAAGAAATGATAGTTAAAAATAATTTGTCAACGATTAATAACTATATTTATTAAAATTTTTTTGTTGACAAGTCATTTATTGAATTCTAATAAATTCTATCAGTGTTCGAAGCATTGGGCCAAGTATCGAACGGGGTTTAAGTCCGTGGTGATTTTTCAAGGCTTGGTTGAAATGTATCGAGACATTGGGCCAACCATCGGACCAGGCTTCGGCCAGTCGTGATCTCCCAAGGCTTGGTTCCAAAATATTGAACTATTGGGCCAAGCCTCGGGCCAGGCCTGGGCCACTGGTAACTTACCAAGGCTTGGCAAAGTAACAAATGGTCCAAGGCTGGGCCATTTGTCAGCACTGGCAAACCCTACCTGGGATACTACGCATATGTAGCGTTTATGATATGTCAAATTATTGCAGTTTGCACATTTATTGTTGAACGTTTGATTGCACGGTTTAGACGATAACACTATACTTTCTTTCCGAGAAAGGTTAAATTTCGTTAATTTTTGAATGATATCGTTACTTTAAGTTCTATTTTTAATAACTGAATTATCGTGTCTAAAATGACGAGAAAATGACGAGAAAATAAAATAATTAATAATATTAATTATATTTATTATCAAATTATTGTATCAATATTCAATACAACTTGCCTTATGTTTATTATTATGGGAATTAATGAATTTGTTATAAATATATTTATGTGCGATTTCAATTTACTTACCTTGTAATCCACCACAGTATTAAATTTACGAAATAAAAACTCAAAATTTAAAAGATTGTTCGATTTATTACCACTTTATCGACTTAGATCAGTACATACATACATAATATAATTACTCGAACATTTCTATATTAATCGAATACATCTCGAGACCGTGTAACATCTCTAATTACTCATTATTCATTAAATAAATAGTCACATTACATAACAACCGCTCATAAAAATTTCCACAACCTCTCACTTAACATTCACAATTTTTATAAATAAAACTCTAATTATTTACAATTGATAACTTTTTTCACACTCGACATCGACGTTACATATTACTTTGTTAAACTCTATTAATATTGAGCTTGGTCTGGTCCATATAAATAATAATAATAATAATTAATAAATATTTTTTTTTAATCTTATACTTAACAAAATTATTACAGTAAATTTCGAGCGATTAATCGAATTTTACCACAATAATTAATTAACTATTTATTTACTCTAATTAATAAACTTTCGAGTTTTATTAATAATTTTTAAATATATCTCTATTAATATATATATATATATATTTTTTTTTTTAATAAGAAAAAAAATTCCCTGCCGCTTCTTTTCACTCCCAGCTCAATATTTTTTTTTCTTTAATTTAATTTCTATCAATATCAAATCGTTAATCGACTACTTAAAAAAATGATTAATCTTTAGGAAATTTAAATAATTAATTAGACACTAGATCGTCGTCTAAATTCGTTTTAGTACAATTGTCTATTAATTTAATTAATTAATTAATTCAATAAATTACCATTAACACTTTTTAAAATCATTGATTTATAGATTAATCAATTAGTATAATTAGTTGTTAATCATTAATTATTATTAATCTCTCAGGCACCAGTGAGTATTAACATACGAAATAAATAACAATAAAACTTAGATTTTTAATTATTAACATTCATTCATTCGATTAATCATTTATTAATAAGAGTTAATTCATTAGATTTATGATTTAGTTTATAAAATTGGGCTGCCATTGTGCATTAATTGAAGTCTATTTGATAAAATAACAATTTTTGTATGGTCAATCGTTTGATTATTCGGTCGATTAATCGATTAATCGAGAGATTGATCGATTAATCGGGCGAATTGCGTAAAATTCAACTTATTTATATGGATTATTACAGTTATTAAAATTAAAATTGAAACAATTGGTGGTGTAGGAGTAATTAATCGATCGATTAACAAATTAATCAGTTGTTTAATAAATTAATCTTATGATTTAAGAGAAATAGCGACAATATATAAAGACATGTTAAGATTAATATTTCATAATTTAGTTGGAAGTTTGAAAGAGAATAATCGATCGATTAATTGATTGGCTAATCGATCGATTAATCAGTAGATTTGTGTGAGAAGATAAAATTCTAAAAATATTAAATTTGTGACCAAGAAAAATTGTAATATGTGATAAAAATTTTCGTAATCGAACGATTAATTGGAGCATTAATCGATTAATCGATTGGTTTTTTAAAATAATGATCAAACTTGACTGGATTACGAGTTGATGTCAAATTAAATCTAACGAAATTCAAGATAAAGATAAAATGTGAACTAATCGATCGATTAATCGATGTCGATTTATTTATGAATCAATAGATTAATCGAGTAAAAAAATGTTGTCTAGAAAAATTTAACCCTTCAATATTGAAGACAAAAAACTTTTAATAAATTGATGGAATATTTAGTCAATCAAATAATCGACAAATCAACAGATTAGTCGATTAATTAATCGAACAATTTTTCTCTACATCAAGAAATTTAACATTTAAATTCATCGAATTTTCTATAAATGAACTTACAGGTTATTAATCAATCGATTGATTGACCAATCAACAGATTAAGGTGTTAATCTATCGATTGATTATTTTACAATGATTCAATAAAGAAAATTAATCTCAGAAATTTCTTATACCGAATATCGATACGATTAATCTACAGATTGAATCGATTAATTATTAAATCTATATATTAACTCCGATAAAATTAGTAACTTTTCTAATAAATTAATCTGAAATAGTTAATCGACCGATTATAGGATTCAGTAATCCATCCCTTTTTATTTAAAATAAAAAAATCTTTCAATAAAGATTATGATTTTTCTCATGAATCTTGCTTCAAGCAATTAATCGATAAATTTAATACATTTATTATGACTAAATTTTGAGGTAATTAATCGAGCGTTGTCTCAAATTAATCGACGATTTTTTTTTTAAATCATAAAATCTCAGGACAAAATTCATAATAATTGCTTATAAATTCTACAGATTATGAATCTACCGATTAATCTATCGATTAACAATTGAATTCCTCGATAAATTTTTCTAATTAATAAATTTAATATTAAAATCCATTAAATTGTTATAAACCAAATTTCAGATGATTAATCGATCGATTTTTTTTTATCAATAAATCGATTAATTAATTAATAAGTTCTTTTAAAATTCATAAAATTAATCTATCGATTAATCGATCGATTGATACATTTTCTTTTAAATAAAAAAATCTAACAAGAAAATCCACGAAATTTTCCATAAATAAAATCTTAAGATAATTAATCAACTTATTAATCGATTAATAACTAAACACCACCATAATTACAACCATTAGAACCGTATAATGATAAATTACGGCAGTTACTATAAATTCTACACTCGAAAAATTTTAAAAACACTCAATAAAAACTTTACAATAGTCATTTCGTTAACCAAAGATAAATTTCAATAATTCGATTAAATTATGATTAATGCGCTAGGAACCGGGACTTGGAGTCTCGTGACTGCGTTTCCTCTTGCCGATGGCTTCAGCGAGCATCTTGAACTCCCAATCGTTAGGTTTGTCACTGTCAACAGAATTTTCCTCATCATCGCCATCTTCATCGTCAATTTTTCTCTGAGGTAGATCCTCGTCGGAACTTTCAATGTCGATCGCGACGTCTCCCCGCCAGACCGATTGCGGGGAAATTGACCTTGGTAGATCTTGGAGCTGAAGCGTTTCCTCCTCAGAGTGTTCCTCCCAGGAGCGCCTCTTTCGACAACGCTGCTCTACAGTCGGTATGCTAGATCGCGTCAATGACGACCGCGCAGATCCCAGCACTGTATCGACTGAGCCGTCCCGCATGAATGGATGTTCCTCGTGGTCCCGCAAGGTGTCCTCGTCCAAGGAGACGTCCAGGTCGGTACTGTCGTCCCCTGAGTCCAGGTTTTCGTGCCCGCTGCTCGATCGTCCTGGATTTTCACGCTCCAATTCGATGATCCGGGATTGTAGTTGCGAAATTACGCGGTCTCGCTTGTGAATTTCTAGTTCTAGGGACGACAATTGGTGGATGAATTTGCTCTGCATTGCCTCCTGAAATTTAAAAAATTATTTTTAACAATAAATAGGAAAAAAATAATTGAATCATTAAAATTTTGATTCATAAAAAAAACAGCATGTTATTTTTTGACTTTTAAATAAGAAAAAAAAATCGAAAAAAAATTTTTTTTATGTCTTTGGCTACAAGATCTCAAAGTAGGATCATTGAGCTTCAAAATAATGTATCATGATTAATTTTTATATCAATATTAGTTTTTATTTTCAGCGCCTCCAACCAAAAAACAAAATCCATGAATTTCAAGTTTTAATTTTTAAAGCTACAAAAAATTAAAAAAAAAAATTATTTTTATATCTTTGACTTCAGGACTTTAAAGTAGGGTCTTTAAGCTTTAAAATCGTGCATCACAATTATTTTTTATTTTTTAATTTCTTTTAATTTTCAGCGCCCCTAGTTAAGAAGAGAAATTCGAAATTTTGTTTTTTTTTTTTCACTTTAGAGGTCAAAAAATGAAGAAAAAAATTTTTTTTTCATATCTTCAACTTCTACATCTTAAAAGTGAATTTCAAAGCTTCAAAAATATGTGTCAAACTTAATTTATACTTTAAAATTTTTCCAAATTTTTAGGGCCCCTATTTATAAAAAGAAATTCAAAATTTCATTTTTTGACGTAAGAAGTCAAAAATTTCTTAAAAAAAATTTTTTTTTCATTTCTTCGGCTATATTTTCTTACGAATAGATTCTTAAGCTTCAAAAATATGTATAATTATTATTAATTACTTCAATATTTTTTTTAATTTTCAGCGCCTTCAATGAAAATAAAATATCAAAAAAATTTGTTTTTTAACTTTAGAACCTATAAAGTAAAGAAAAAAAAATTTTTTTCTATGTCTTTGTCAATAAGATTTTAAAGGAGAGCTTTTAAGCTTTAAAATCATGTATCACAATTAATTTTGAGTCTCAAATTTTCTGTAATTTTCAGCGCCCCTATTTAGAAGAAGAAATTCAAAATTTTCGTTTTCTTACTTAGGAGTTCAAAAATTTATTAAAAAAATTTTTTTTTTATTTCTTCGGCTATGGGATCTTTAAATAGATTATTTAAGCTACCAAATCATGTATCATATGTATTATTTACTAAAATATAACTCTTAATTTTCAGCGCCCCCAATCAAAGCAAACATAAAAAAATTCTAAATTAAATTCTATTTTTCCAGCAAAAAATTGACCAACTTACCATACGTTTCTGAATGACGTCGCGGATTCCCGCAACCAGATCACCCAGACACTCGTCATCAGGTCTCGAAAGCATTTTAACGACATCATCGCTACCAAGAGGACGGATACTAAATTTATTGGGCAAGTTTATTGGTAGCGACGACTCCTCGGGCTTAAGGTCTTCAACCTGCCCGTCGGTGCTCCCGCTGCCCGTCACGTCGACGTTCGCTCCGGATGACTCCGACGGGGGACTCTGCATCGTGTAGTTGAAGGTCACGCTCTTTGACAGCTTTGAATGTCGCGCCGCGTAACCTTCGATCGTCGGCGCGCGCATCAGCTTCCTCAATTCCGCTGTTACCAAGTCTGGATCTGGCATTATCGACGTCTCTAAACTGCTTGCTCGACTGCCGGCTGATAGCTTTTTCAGAATACTCTTCAGGTTCCGCCTTTCCAGGGTTTCGTTCTCTGGGGATAATGGATCTCGCTGACGTTTTCCGTGTTCCTGAAAAATTTATATTATTAGTAATTTTCTTGAATTTTTAAGTTTTTAGAAAAAAAAAATAATTTTCAACATTTGAAAATCAAAAATAATTATAAAAAAATTTTATTTTATATCTTCGGCTATAGGATCTTAAAGTAGGATCGTTAAGCTTAAAAATAATGTATCATACTTAATTTTTATTCCAATATTGGTCTTTGTTTTCAGCGCCCCCAATCAAAAGACAAAATCAATAAATTTTAGTTTTCAATTCTTGAAGTTTCAAAACATTGAAAAAAAAAATTATTTTCATGTCTTTGGCTGAAGCATTTTCAAGTACGATCTTCAAGCTTTAAAATAATTTATCATACTTAATTATTATCTTAAAACCTTCCTTCATTTTCAGCGCCCCCAGCCAGAAGAGCAAATCAAGATATTGAATTTTTAATTTTTGGGACTCAAAAAAAAATTATAAAAAAAATTTTTTATTATATCTTCGGAAATTTCAGATAGTAGCTAGTATAATCCAAGTTACAATGAGTATAATTCAGATTACAATGAGTATAATCCAGATATCACGAAGTATAATCTGGATTTTTTTAGCTACTATCTGAAATTTTTTTCATCACAGATATCACTGAGTATAATCTGGGATGATATCCAGTGTCATCTTGTTTTTTTCGTGTATCATACTTAATAATAACCTAAATATTACTTTTCATTTTTTAAGCCACGAATCGAAAGAAAAAAATCAGAAATTTTGATTCTAACTTAGGATGTCAAAAAAAATTTTTTTCATGTCTTCGGCTATGGAATCTTAGAGTAGGATCTTTAAGCTTTAAAAATATGTATCATACTTAATATTTACTCTATTATTTTTCTCAATTTCCAGCATCCTCAATCAAAAGGAAAAAATTCCGAATTTCAATTTTCCAACTTTGAAAGTTAAAAAAATATGAAAAAAATTTTTTTTTCATTTCTTTGGCTAAAGGATCTTAAAGAAGAGTTTCCAAGCTTCAAAATTATGTATCATAAATTTTTTTGACTTAAATATTACTCTCAGTTTTCAGCCAAAAAAATAAAATTTTTTTTCTGCCCCTAAAAAATTTGTTGCTCCTAAAAACCACATACCTTATTAAACTTCGCCAACTTCCTGGCATATTCAATCGCACATGCCTCAGAATGACTTCTGGTCAAATTTCCATCAAACTCAGCTTCAGTAGCCTCCCCGCAATCCAAACTAGAGCTTCTAACAGCCTTCTCCAACTCAGCAAGTTTCTGCCTCTCGTTCAAAATCTTCAACTTCTTAACAAACGGAAGTCCGCAGTACTCCGGCGAGAGGTCATCAACCGACGAGTACATTTTAGTCTGCTGCCTTATCTGCACAAGACTCTGCCTAGTTTCCTTCTTAACCTGCTGCTGAACGGTCGATAGAACATTCGCCGTGCTAATCGACGCGTCCTTCAACATCTCCCAGGGCCGCTTGATGCTATTGGAGCTCTCCTCTTCTTTATCGACCTTCCTAGGCAATACCTCCAGTTTCTTCGGAACAATCTTCTCCTTAAGAACCTTGACCTCCTTGACCTTGTCCTTGTCCTTCTCCTCCGGCTCAGCTTTATTCTTCAGCAAGAGAATCCTCTGGAGCAACGGCAAATTCGGATTCATCGGGTTCAATTCTTCTGCCTTCGCAGTTTGACCCGCAGAATCCGGAGCCAGGCGCTCGGGCATGTGCATGTCGACAAGATGGCGGCGCTCTTCACGATCGTGCTTTTCCTTGAGATGGCGGAGCCGTGAGAGAAGGGGAAGCCCCGCCCCTAAAGGCGAAACCGGCGGCTCTCCGGGAGCTGCTTCAATTCGGTCTTCGACGTCGACCTTGTTCTGCCTCCTCAATGGCGGAACTTTCGAGGTCAGTGGCTGCAGCTCCATCGCTTCTTCAGGACGTGACCTCCTGCTCTTTCTTAAGACTGTCTTCAGGCTCTTGACGTCGCTCTTCAGTTTGGAAACTATTCGCTTGCTGGCGCTGTTATCTGAAGAATCGTGACCTGGAGACGCCGCTCGGTATAGTCGCGCAACTCTCTGCGCCTCCATTAGTCTTTTTCTTCCAAGGTTCTGGAGGATTTCTTGCGCCTCTGGGTAGTCCTTCATCGCTGCTAGAACGTCTTCGCGAGATAGGCTGAACAGCTCGGAGTAGCCGACCGATCTCACGTCTGCTGTGCGTCTGGAATGGATAAATTAAGATTAATCGCCTGAAACTTGGGTTAGAATTGGTCGATTCTAGGTAAGTGAAGTTTACTTTGAAGGGTTTGATAAAGGGAACCCTAGACACCCTGTCAGACAACTACTTTCGGAACCAGAAGCGTTCCAAACCACCAATCGTTAATCAGTTTATAATTTCTGGTTGAAAGTTTGGAGCTTGGGATATTGGAGCCAAATTAAAGGAAAAATATTTTGAAAAAAGGAACTTGAAGCTTTTTTAATCCTCTTTTTAGAAATCGATAATATTATTGATTAAAAAATTTTTTTCAAACTTTTTTGGGCTTGATTAATCAAAAAAAGCGGATTTTTTCACTTTTTAATGAATATAGAGCATGATATTTTGGAACCAAATGATCAAAAAAATTTTTTTAATAAAGGATCTAATAGCTTTTTTAATCCACTTTTCAGCGATATGTATGAATAATATCAAAAAATTATTTTAACCCTTTTTGGGGCCGATTGATAAAAAAAAATTACATTTTGAGCATTTTTCTAACTTTAAAGCTCTATATCTCAAAACTGTAAAATCAAAAAAAATTTTTGAAAAAAGAATCTTAAAGCTGTTCTAATTCTCTTTTCAGTAATCTACATCATTATTGCTAAAAAAATTTTTTTCAACCTTTTTTGAGCTTGATTAATCAAAAAAAGTAGATTTTTACATTTTTTGATGAATATATAGCTCGATATTTAGGAACCAAATCATCAAAAAATTTTTTTTACCAATGAATTTTCTAGATTTTTGATCCTCTTTTAGGTATTGTATATAAAAATTACAAAAAAAAATTATTTTAACCGTTTTCGAGTCCAATTAATCAAAAAAGTCAGATTTTTTGCTTTATTTGAACTTTGAAGCTCAATATTTCATAATTAAAAAATCAAAAAAATTTTTTAAAAAAAGATTCTGTAGCTATTTTAATCCTTTTTTGAGTGATATATATGATTATTATCAAAAAAATTATTTTTACCCTTTTCGGGGCTGATTAATCATAAAAATCTAATTTTTTGATTATGACTATCCAATAAAGCTTCTATTTAAACTGGAATAAAATTTTTCATATAAATTTCTACTGTAGAATATCAAAAAAGACTCTTCAAACTTCCAAGTGAGCATTTGAAAATTTTTTTTATCTCATATAAAATAAAAAAGTTTATGGTTCTTACTTATTTAGGCCATCAAGATTAAGAATGCCGATTTCTCCGAAGAAATCCCCGGCTTTCATGGTTGTCAGTACGCGGCCAGTCTCAGAGATAACTTCTAAAATGCCATCGGCTATTATAAACATCTCACGGGCGACTTCACCCTTCCGGCAGATTGAATCACCTGGTGTGAAGATGTAGGCTTTCATTTTTAGAACTAGGTCGTGGAGAAATTCCGGCTGGCACTCCTGAAAATTAAATTAACATTTTTATTAATTACTATTATTGTTCCGACTTGTAAAATTCAATAAAAAGACGGACAAATGGTCAAAAGCTATTACAAAAAATCAAATTTAATAACAAAAATTTCATCAGAGACTAAAGCCGGTCTCCAAAATTAATTATCAAAAGTTGGTAATAAATAATCCTTTGTTACGTCTAGACTTTAATAAAAGCTCGACCTCACTCCCGAGTCCTTCCCTTGATCCTCACCGCAAAAAGATAAAAAGTCTAGGACGAGCTTCTAGCAACATAATCATTTCTTTTGTCCTCTTACATATCCAAGTTAAATTGAGAGTTTGAGAACCATGGTAGGATCCCTTGAACCTCCTTTTCATCATCGTTTTCGCAACCCTCCTTCTTTCCTACCCTTCGATCTATAAATATATATACATGGACCTATTACCGCCTCATTCCCGTATCCACATCATCCAGTTTTCGATTTAGACGCCTCTATGTGGGTCAACCCGGTCGGTTATTAACAAATCTGCGATGCACGCCTTCCACCTTCCACCTTCTCCAATTTTACCCCCTTTCTGTTTGCACGGCCTCTTCCCTTCGAACAATCATTCTCGAGTACTTTTAACGACGATCCGACTCCGTGTTCTTTGTTAAACAGAAATCAAGGCCGTTCACTGGAAGTCCCAATTAAAATTTCTGGTCATTATCGATAAAAATTATGTTTTTTTAGGATAACTTTTGAACCCTTCAATCGATTGGCACAAAACCTTATATACACTTTTTCTGTTTGAAAAACTGCGTAGAATGGCGCCAAAAAGATGAAAATTGAACCACGCGTTTAAAAGTTGTAACGTTTAGGTGTATTAATAAAAGTGTATTTTTTGGTATAAATTTTGAAATTTTCAACCGATTGAGATTCTAAATACAGCAATCTATCCGGCTCCTTGAGACTAAAACATGAAAGAATTTTGAAGTTAATCGATGTAACCGTTTAGAAAAAAATTTACAAAAACAGTAGAAATATAGAAAACGAGACATTTTTTTTACGTTTTTTGGATATAACTTTTGAAATTTCGATTCGATTGGCACAAAACCTTATATGCACTATTTTTGCTTGAGAAACTGCGTAGAATGGCGCCAAAAAGATCAAAACCGAACCACGCTTTTAAAAGTTGTAATGTTTTAGATCCATTGAAAAAAGTGTATTTTTTTGGTGTAACTTTGGAAATCCTCAGTTCTTTGATATTCTGGACATCATGATCAGGAAATTTATCCGAAACATAATTAAAGAGAAGTTTTGAAGTTAATCGGTGGTACCACTTCGAAAATGTTCACAAAAATCTAAGAATTATAGAAAAAAAGATATTTTTCTAAGGTTTTTTTAAGATAACTTTGTAATTTTTGAGTCGATTGGCATAAAACAGTGTATAGACTTTTTCTGTTTTAAGAACGGCGTAAGATGCCGCCAAAAAAATCAAAATCGAACCCCGCATTTAAAAGTTATAACGTTTAGGTGTAATAATAAAAGTGTAATTTTTTGAATAACTTTTGAAATTTTCAACCGATTGAGATTTTGAACACAGCAATCTTTCAGGGTTATTGAGACTCAAATATAAAATAATTTTGAAGTTAATCGATCAAACCGTTCAAAAAGAAATTAACAAAAACAGTAGAAATATAGAAAAAGACACATTTTTTTTACGTTTTTTGGATATAACTTTTAAAATTTTGATCCGATTGGCACAAAACCTTATATGCACTATTTTTGCTTAAGAAACTGCGTAAAATGGCGCCCAAAAAATCAAAATCGAACTACGCGTTCAAAAGTTGTAACGTTTAGGTGCATTAAAAAAAGTGTATTTTTTGGTATACCTTTTAGAATTTTCAGCTGATTGAGATTCTGAACACGGCGATTGAAAATTTTAATAGAATTTTTACGTAAATCGAAGTCGTTTCGAAGACGTTCTCAAAAATTTACGAAAAAACCAAAAATACAGGAAAAACAACACTTTTTCGGTTTTTTTTTTTAAATAACTTCTTGACTATCAATCTGATCGATTCAGAACCTTGAACACACTTTTTGTAGAGAAAAAACTGCGTCGAAAGCACCCAAAAGAAGTTACAGATTAAAATTAGTCAGAAATTATATTTCAGATGTGTGATAAAAAAAAAAGTGAAAAACAGATTATTGTTTAATATTCAATTGAAAAATTTACAGCAGAATAAAACATGAAAGATTTATTGGCGTGTCATCGTTGGATCGGCTAGTATATTGACATTGAATGAATTCATTTGTAATCACGCAAACACCCATAGGGATTCAATGGAAGTATTCATATTTCAGTTTATGAATATTTATGCTAGATATTTCAGGTTATCGAGGGCTTTCGATAATTTAGTCATGGAGCTCCAAACTGTTTGCATTTATTCACTTTCGATTCAACAGATTATTTATTATTTCGATGTATTTAAACAACTAGTCGCAATCTACGGGATTAATGAATCAAGTTATTATTATTATTATTTAAAAATTCTTTTACGCGTGAGCGTTATTCGACGCAATATGAGCCAACAAAATTTTTCTAGACCGATAAATATTGTCGCGGGGAAAAACATACAAACGTGACTGGCATATGGAAAAAATAAAAAAATGCTGTCGTTTTCACAAAAAATCATCTGTATTCCAGCCATATCTGATGGTTCAAATAAATGACGCAAAAGAGTGTGGTTTGAGGTGTCCGGGTTGGAACGCAGAAAACGAATGAGTGGGAGAGGTGAGAGGGGGAGTCAGGGGGAGTAAAAGAGGGTGAGGATGAGGAGGTATTAGAAAATTGGAAGTTCAAGGGTTTGCGAAGGGGTTGAAGTGAAACGAGGGGATGACATGAAAAGCCTCATTGCTTGCTATCGATTCACTTCCGTTTCCGAGCTCGCTCTCATCTGTATGGAGAAAAACCCTGTCAAGGGGACAAAAAAGGATATCTTACTTTTTTATAAGCTTTATCTTCAACTTTTTCATGATTTCGACATTTGTAAACATTTGTTCTCTCACTTGGTTTTTTTTATTTCTATTGGCACTATGTATTTCGGACTTTTATTTAAATCGTCGATTTTGGGAAGGATACTTTTTTTTTCAGTTAGATATTAGTAAAATTTTTTTTTCTAGATTGAAAAAAAAAAATACACATACACGGAAAGAACAAGATTATACTGGATATAATCCCAGATTATACTGAATGAAAAAAAATTTCAGATAGTAGCTAGTATAATCCAGATAACAATGAGTATAATCCAGATTACAATGAGTATAATCCAGATATTATTCAGTATAATTTGGATTATACTAGCTAACATCTGAAATTTTTTTACCTCAGATGTCTCTGAGTATAATCTGAGGTGGTATCCAGTGTCATCTTATTCTTTCCGTGTAGGTACTCAAATGAAAGGACATAAAATTTGCAACCTAAAACAAGAGAAAAAATAAAATTAAAACAAAAAACTCACCTGAAAAATAGTGACCTTCTTAAGAACAGAAAGATTGACATGAAGTGCAAGTTCAGTCTTAAGCTTATCCGGTAGTAGTCCAAGGGCAGTATTAATATCACCCCCTCCTTGGATGCGCCCCCTGGACCAGCTGTAGTCGTACCACCTCAACACGCGCCTCTTCATCCCTCCGGGCACTTTGTGGTGCCTCATATACGTCTTGGCGCCGTCCAAGAGCCGCTCGAACTCGAGTCTATTGGCGTTTCTGTTGGTAATAACGTTCCCCACCTGGCCGACTATCGTCGCAAAAATAAACACTCCGATGAGGTAGCTCACTATCGTAAACACGTATCTGCCGAGGGTGAATAAAAAAATCAAGATCAGTGTCAGTTCGTTGGCGTTGACTCGAGCCCGCCGGAGCCTCTCTCCTTTAGTTAATCATGTTTAGGACGTTCTAGAGCACGGTATTCATGGTCTTTATATAAAAAAAAAAAAAAAAAAAAAATTCTCTGCGGGATTCGAACCCGCGCCCCCTGAGTGTACTTCACAATGAACTTCATTTGTAACTAACAGTTTTATGCGATTTTCTCGGCTTCTATCAAAGATAGAGCTTCGGTTATAAAATACTTTTTGTTTGTTTTTAAATTTTCTACAAAAAAGCTTTCTTATAGTTTTTTTCTAAGTGCTATAGTTTCGGAGATATAGAACAGAAAAGATTGATTGAAGTTCAGTCGAGTCGATAGCTGTTAAGTCACGGTAATTTGAGGTAGAAAATGAAATAACCATTGTACTTTTTCATGTTACACTGTAATAGAAATTGGCACAGAGCAATTGTCGGGTGATAAAGTGACGGAAAAATTGACCGGGGAAGTGGGTGGGGATCTCCGGGGGTGGGAATGAGATAACGGGTAGCGTGGGAGGATGAAATGCCCCGGGATATTCATTCTCTTAGTAAATTCGATTTCTAGTCTGCACAAGATCGATAATCCTTTACATTCGTTGCAATATGTTATTTTTTTTTAAATAAGCTCAACAGAAATAATTAAAAAAAAAAATTCAAATTTCAAAAAAATTTTCAAAATTTCAAAAAAATTATTTTTAATATTAAAAAAAAAAATAACTTAATCAAGTTATTTTTATAAAGCTTAAAAAAAATTAAAATTCATACCAATCAACTTAAAATATTTTTTTCTGATATAATCCTTCTGAAGATGAATAAATATTTTTAATCTTTTATTTATTTTAATAAAATTTATCCCTCGAATAAATTTCACGACAGTAATAAGTAATCCGAGTCCAGAGCTCCCAGCTCGGAGACCGAACAGAAAAGGAACAAGGATTCGTTTCCCTAATGACTTTTTAAATTATATTTTACATCACTTTTCAGTATCATCCTCTTATCACCCCTCACTCCCCTGAGCGACCTCAACTTGTTACGGAGGTTTTTAAAGTTTGTTGAATATGAGTTTCCCGAGCTTGGTTCAGAAACTTTTTATTTAAAGTGTTGGGTAACTGAATTTATATAAAATTTATAAGAAATTGTTTTTGTGTTTGTTTATTGACGGTAAATGTAATCAGTAAAATTGGAATACTGAGAAGATTGAGGATGTTAATGAATAAATTAATTATCGTTGGATATAAAACAGGGTGGAATCGCTCGGAATTTATTGGAACGTATTAATTACGGAGCCAAGAACCCCTGCTGGATAATCTCGATCACGTTGACACGGTCGCCGTTATAACATATATACATGTACATTGAGATAAGAGAGATTAAAGTTTTTTTTTTTAAGAATTTAAACTTTTTCTGAATATAGAATTATGAATTTTAAAGAAATTTTCGGATAAATTTATAAGAAAATTTGGGATATTGAAATATACATGCCTTAAGCATTGAGTCATACGAGAATTGATCGAAGTGAATATACGACAAGTTCTATATACACCGGAAAAAAGAAAACTAGAATAATTACAGTTTAAAATCTAAAATCAAGCCCGTCGTTATCAAAATAGAAAAAATTAAAGTTCAAACTGTAATTTTTGTATTTTATATAGTAACAAAATTGTTGTCATGCAAGAAGCAAATTTTACAGTTTGGAAATGTAAATCTAACATCATAAAAGGTAAAAATATTATTGCTTTTTATACAGGAAATTTTATCTCTTTAAAAGTCATTAATTTCTATTTAAAACTGTAAAAATTATCATTTTTCAGCAATGTACAAATTAAAATTCCAAATAATATAGTTTATTTACCGGTTCACTAAAATTTACAGTGTGAGATACGAATTATGAACGTTAGTATAGAAAAAGTAACTATTGCATCTCACGCTGTAATTTTTAGATTTTCTATATTAAGTACAGTCAATACTCTAGCAGCCAGGAACTTACTGCTTAAAATCCAAAATTTAACGTTTGGTTCAGCAATGTTTGAATAGCGGTAGAGAATTCTATCCCCTCTCTCGTATAAATTGGACTTAGTTTTTTTCAGTCACTATTGTCGACGCATACTATTTACGCTTGTAGCTTATAACTACACTCTACTACACAGAATGCTATGTCGTTCGAATAGCGTCGGAATAAAACGTCCGTCTTTCATGCGTAGACGCTGGGATCGAATCCTCGCTAGGGTAATTTGCGATTAATATTATTATAAGTTTATTTATATAAGAAACGCGAGTATGTGTGTGATATGATCAACTAATTTTCTAATACTAATCCCCTCTCCCCTTCCTCAAATTAAAAACTTCGAAAGTAAATATGATAAGAAATATGTCCCATGAATATATGAATAACCAATACCAAAAATTAAATTTTATTCAAAAAACAATTTTTTTTTGTTTCACATATAGGCTTTAGAATTGCCGTTTTCCATCTTTGCCACACTAAAATTCAATATATGACAGATTGTTACTTATTGTAATATTAGGATATAAATATTTAGGTAGTGAGTATTATTAATCCGAACAAAAACAGTTTAAAAAAAATCGCGCCAAGTCCACGTTAATAAGACTATTAAAAAAAAAAAATTTTATTTCTTTACAAAAAGATATAAAATAAAAAAATCCAAGTAACCAATATGGTTGTATATGATTTTCGGAAATTAAAAAAAACTTTTTTGTAAATTTAAAAATACAAAGAAACAATTTTGGAACGTATTTAGTGTGCGTGGTTACGAAATATTTTATTTTTTATGAAATTCCTAAAATCTATCTACTAGGACTTTTAAAAAAAATTGAAGTACACAATGACGCACACCAAGTACGTTCCAAAATTGTTTCTTTTAATTTTTAAATTTACAAAAAAGTTTTTTTTAATTTCCGAAAATCATATACAACCATATCGGTTACTTGGATTTTTTTATTTTATATCTTTTTGTAAAGAAATAAAAATTTTTTTTTTTAATAGTCTTATGAACGTGAACTTGGCGCGATTTTTTTTACAGTGAAACTGTTTTTGTTCGGATTTCAGTATTTTTTGTAATTATAATAAAAATTGACAATTTTAATTCAATGCATTTCCGGTGGCAAACTAGAAACTATCCCCTTTAAGCTATAGTTCATGTAAAAGTTATTCTTGCGCCGTCTGGCGTGTGTAATTGCAAGCTGTCAAATATCTTTTTTTCACTGTAGTTTCTCATCTATTATAAGATTAGCATGCATCCTTATATTATCTAGTCTCTGGCCGTCCGCTTTTTACATAAGAAAAAAGTTAAAATCTAAAAATCTGGGTCGCTATAGTTTATGCTGATTATTTTTAATAATTTTAAATAGAAATTATAAAGATAATTGATAATAATCAAGTAATACGCGTAATAAAAAGCATGAACTACTATTATAAAATATCATATAAAAAAAAAAATCAAATTAAATTTGAAAAAAAATTTGTAACCTCAAAAAACCGTTCTGCTTACGGTATATACACACTCGGTAGTCTGGCTTGAGAACGGAACTTGGCGCCAGATTCTACCGAATCTGTTGATGGGAGAAAAAAAATATTTTATATATTGATATTTTTTTTTATTTCCGTGTAAAAAATTGGATTCATACTTGTTAAATGAAAATCTAAATTTTAACACTTATCGAGTATTATTTCAATGACTTGTACAAAAACTTACAGTGTGAGATAGTAACTTTTATACATCGTGAAACTCTAATATTTCTTACTCAAAATGTAAAACTTACACGGAAAAAAAATCCTATGAAAAATTACAATAGTAACATCATAATCCAGGACTAGACTTTCAGTATGTTAATTTTTACGATGCTGCCGTCTACAGAATACAATTTGAATTATTGAAAATTACGATGTTATTTAGTAAATGTTTTTTCCGTAAGAGCAAGTGAGTAAGGACGCATACTATATGTTTTAATAAAAAAGAGACAAAGTCCAATAGTTTGCGACGCCACCACCGAAAGATGACCAACTACTGTATCGAGGGTCTTATTATGTGACTGAACAGAAATTATGGATAATCTCTCTGATGGCGTAAGGGGTTAAACCTTGGGCTTAGAGTGGAGAGGGCACCGGGTTCGAATCTTCGGTGATACAGAATTATTTTTTCGGTGACCTAGACTTCTTTTTAATTTGAGTGATAGAAATTTACGATGTTGCATCGTATAAATTAAAATTTTTGAGTTCTGGTCCGGCACTACAATGTTCTATACTAAAAATTACGATGTTTCTATCGTAATTTTTCGTACAATTTTCTTCCCGTGTACTGCGTAGCGCCAAGCTGTAACTTTTAGATTTTCGTTAACGAAGCGCTGGGTTACTATTTAAAAATCTAAAAAATGCTCAACGAATAGTCTATTTCTGTTTTCTTTTTTCCGTGTAACTGATGACTTTTATCTTATTTTCAATTTTTTGATAATTTTAAATCAAACGTCAATAAGAAAATAATTATCTACTATACTCTACAAGAATAAATTTAAAAAATAATTTTAATAAGTTAATTACAAATAAATAACAAGAAATTATTTTTGTTTACAATTATATTTTAAAGCTCGTTAGAATTTTCCCGCGGATAGAATTTTTTTCATACGAATTGAACGCCCTCTGTCGTTCTGATAAGTGAATCATAAAAAGAACCAATTAAAGACTGTATTACCGGCGGTCGGCCAGCGGAACAATTGAGTATAGTATCAGCTGTCTTCAAGCTGTATTTACAAATAAATTTTTCTATATGGCTGCTCAAAGGACAGAAAATTTCTCCAACTGCCAGCCGAAAATATTAATTATAATTAAACAAAACAATATTGAGCTGCAATTTTTAATCTGCGGCTTCCTTTGAGGCAGATGAGGAGATTAAAAAATAAATTGAGTTGAAAGATTGATTTTTTCAAAAGTTATCATGTTTGCCTCTTCATAAATACTTTAAAAATCTACTCAAGCTGTTATAATCACTTTTTCATTAAAAAATAGTAATTAATCGATTAAAAAAAATTCCTATAAGTTGAGCAATGATTTTTTTTTTATTAACCCGTCGGTAGATAAAAAATTGTCTAATAATTTTTCTATCAAAATAGAATTTAATTGAGAAAAAAACAACCTAATCATTTAATAAATTGTCATAAAATATAAAAAAAAAGATATGATTATAATCTTCAAATTCTTGACAAATAGGTAATTAATAAAAACGCTGATATTGACCACCTGGAATGTATTGCAACACAAATTTCGATTGCTCGGGGGAAAACACTTGAGATTTTAAGCTATTATTAATACGTATTAACATATAATTACGGAAAAAAAAGCCTTTATATAATTTTAGCTTTTGACAATAAAGAACAGTTGCTACATAATTTTTCTGCAAGGGTCAATTAAGAATTGAGAATGGAAAAATTGTACACAGTTTTAAATTTTTTATTTTGGCTGAGTTTGTTAGTAGTTGCTTCTGATGGTATCAAAGAAATAAAATATGGAAAGAGTATGTATTCTACACTAAAAAAAAATTTTTTATCTGATTCAAGAGAAAAATTTTTGAGTTAGAAAATTAAAAAAAAAAAATTTTTTTTTCAATTTAAGTAAATTTTACTTGATTCAAAAATTTTTGGTCTTAATTTAAGACAGCAAAACTTTTCAAAATTATTGCCTTAGTTGTATTAATATAATTTTGGATTTTATTTCAGATATTTTAAGTTCCTGTAAATCACATCGGGATTGTAAAGATTTGAAATACAGCCAGTGCCTGAGTGGAAAGTGCTGCTGCTTATCAAACTATTACAAGCGTAATTCTAACGTTTGCCTAGGAGGTATTAACGCGACGTGTGACTCAGATTATGACTGTCGACATAATCATCTAGCTGGTTGTATTTCTAACACCTGTCAAAGTTATGCGACGTTTTTCTCACCATCAAATGCTGAAGAAGTTAAGCTCTACCGTGCAGAAAGTAAGAATTTTTTTTGACATTGCATGCATTAAGCGCGATTGCAAAATTTTGCTTTATTACCGCTTAAAATTCAAGATTTCAACATTATGTCACATTGAGTCGAAGCTAACGATCATATTGTACATATAAATGATAAAGAAGCATAATTTTAAAAAGAAAAGTCATAACTAAATTAATCAAAAATTTGTTTAATCGATTAATTGCTATTTTTACGTTAAAAAGTGGTTACAATGCCTTGTGTAGATTTTTAAAGTTTTTATGGAGGGACAAACATGATAACTTTTGAAAAAATCAATTTTTCAACTAAATTTATTTTTTAATCTCCTCATCTGCCTTCTGGAAAGTCGCGGATTGAATATTGCAGCTTAATATTGTTCTGTTTAATTATAATCCGATCAAAAACAGTTTCACTGTAAAAAAAATCGCGCCAAGTCCACGTTCATAAGACTATTAAGAAAAAAAAATTTATTTCTTTACAAAAAGATATGAAATAAAAAATTAAAAAATCCAAGTAACCGATATGATTGTTTATGAATTTCGGAAATTAAAAAAAATTTTGTTGCAAATTTAAAAATTAAAAAAAACAATTTTGGAACGTACTTGGTGTGCGTCATATTGTGCATTTCAATTTTTTTAAAGTCCTAGTAAATAAATTTTACGAATTTAATTAAAAGTAAAATATTTCGCAACAACGCACACTAAATACGTTCCAAAATTATTTTTTTAATTTTTAAATTTACAACAAAATTTCTTTTAATTTCCGAAAATCATAAACAATCATATCGGTTACACGGAAAGAGCAAGATGACACTGGATACCATCTCAGATTATACTCAGTGACATCTGAGGTAAAAAAATTTCAGATGTTAGCTAGTATAATCCAGATTATACTGAATAATATCTGGATTATACTCATTGTAATCTGGATCATACTCATTGTTATCTGGATTATACTAGTTACTATCTGAAATTTTTTTTCACTCAGTATTATCTGGGATTATATCCAGTATAATTTTGTTCTTTCCGTGTACAAAAAAAATTTTATTTTTTTACAAAAAGATATAAAATAAAAAAATCCAAGTAACTGATATGGTTGTATATGATTTTCGGAAATTAAAAAAATTTTTTTGTAAATTTAAAAATTAAAAAAAAACAATTTTGGAAGGTATTTAGTGTGCGTGGTTACGAAATATTTTATTTTTTATGAAATTCCTAAAATCTATCTACTAGGACTTTTAAAAAAATTGAAGTACACAATGACGCACACCAAGTACGTTCCAAAATTGTTTTTTTTAATTTTTAAATTTGCAACAAAATTTTTTTTAATTTCCGAAAATCATATACAACCATATCGGTTACTTGGATTTTTTAATCTTTTATTTTATATCTTTTTGTAAAGAAATAAAATTTTTTTTCTTAATAGTCTTATGAACGTGGACTTGGAGCGATTTTTTTTACAGTGAAACTGTTTTTGTTCAGATTTCAGTATTTTTTGTAATTATAATAAAAATTGACAATTTTAATTTAATACATTTCCGGTGGCAAACTATCCCCTTTAAGCTATAGTTCATGTAAAAGTTATTCTTGCGCCGTCTGGCGTGTGTAATTGCAAGCTGTCAAATATCTTTTTTTCACTGTAGTTTCTCATCTATTATAAGATTAGCATGCATTCTTATATGATCTAGTCTCTGGCCGTCCGCTTTTTACATAAAAAAAAAGTTAAAATCTAAAAATCTGGGTCGCTATAATTTGTGCTGATTATTTTTAATAATTTTAAATAGAAATTATAAAGATAATTGACAATAATCAAGTAATACGCGTAATAAAAAGCATGAAGTACTATTATAAAATATCATATAAAAAAAATCAAAATAAATTTGAAAAAAAATTTGTAACCTCAAAAAACCGTTCTGCTTACGGTATATACACACTCGGTAGTCTGGCTTGAGAACGGAACTTGGCGCCAGAGTCTACCGAATCTGTGGATGTTAAAACTTAATATTAAATATTATATTTTATCTTTTTCAGTAATATAAACCGTTATTATGCTTTTCAGGAATAGGATCAGGATGCGTTACCGATGAAAACTGCAAGGATCTGAATAATACACTCTGCAGATCAGGAAAATGTGAGTGTGTGAAAGGTTACTGGAAAGCCAATGAAACTTGTCAGCTTGTAACAAACACAACTTGTGTCAATAATTCTGATTGCAAAGAAAGCGGAACTAAATGTCTTCTAAATAATTGCGTTTTACCGACCGATTTTTTCATTGAATCCAACACTCGCAACGCTACTCTCTATGCCGCAACACGTAAGACAGTCATCTTTCCAATCAAAAATTTTCTCGGGCCAAAAAAAAATATACTAATTTAAAGATTACGTTTGTGGTGTTAAATTAGAGAATATTAATTTTTTTTCATTATTGATTAGGATTAGGTGATGTCTGTCAAACTGATCACCATTGTCGAAATATCAATCACAGTAAATGCATTAATGGAGCTTGTAAATGTGGACGTGGAACTTTACCGTAATTAGAAGAATAATATTAATAAAAATAAATCATCGAAATTAATTCTAATATTTTTTTCAGGTCTTTACATGCAAACTTTAATCCTTCTTCTGGAGGAGAGTGCCGGCGAACATTAAACTTCTACTGTGAAAAAGATTCACAATGCATTTATTATTACAAATCTAAATGTTTCTTCAATAATTGTTCAATTGCGGAGGATTTCTTCGCTCCTGAAAACGCCCACAAAGTCAACCTATATGCCGCAACTCGTAAGAAAAAATCCAAATTTTCATGTTTGATTGTGATAAATTTATAGATATTTACTTTTAAGATGTTCGAGATGATTGTCGTACCGACCACCATTGCCGTAACATCGAAAATACTCAATGCATTGAGGACCAGTGTCGTTGCAAAGAGAATTATACAAGTATTAATGACAAGTGCCGTGAATTATCGGATTTATTTTGTTCTCATGATTCTGATTGCAAAAAATACGGTTTTGATTACTGGTGCTTTTCGAATGCTTGTCATCGAGGACAATATTACTTTGATACGGCAGATTTCTCTCAATGGAAGGCTAAATGTACTGTAATTTATACTTTATTATAGCCGAATTCCTCTAAAGGTGCTAGTACTGTAGTAACATTGGTTTTGGACAAGATTCTTTAGTTAGATAGTTGATCAAGTCCTGGGAACAGAATTGGAAAATTCTTGAGCCAGAAAGTTAATCAATATTGTCTGTCCAGACTTGGACAAGATTTTAAAACAGAGTTTGGAACAGTACTTGGTCAAATTTAGTGATAGGTTTGTAGCCAGAATTCGTCCAGATTGTTGAAATAAGAATAAGAACTTCTGCCTTAACAACTAAGTCTCAAAAAATGGTAGTGGGGAGCCACAACATTTCTGGCTATTTTCTGGACGAATTCTGACTCAAATCTTGGTCAAATATCAGGAGCGATTCTTGAAGTGTCTGTCGTAAGTTTCTAGTCAATGAATTGTAAAAATCTGTATCCATGCATGGATCTACATATCTGCAGATGTTTCATCATGATTTTTGAACTAGACTTCAAGCTCGAAGCTTGAACCAAATTGTTACTAGGGTAGTCTTGATCTCTTCCATATGTTACTTATTCCTCAATGCCCGTTTTGGATGCGCAATAAGAAACATAAGCTTCACTTTTAATCAAGGACATAAGAAATGGCAGTTTTCATTTAATTTTACAAAAACTGCCACTAATAATTGAATAAAAATTAAGAAAGTTAAGAAAGGTGTCATGAAACCTTTAGAAAGCAAGCATCTTTAGAGGAATTTGGCTTCAAATGCACTTCTTATTAAACTTCGACATTTCTTATTTATATGAGTAACATTTACAGGGATTAAAGGCCATTGTAGAACCGATCTTCACTGTAGTAATTTGAATAATACTAAATGCTTCCTTGACCAATGCGTATGCAGATATGGTTATAAATATGAATCTGGTGAGTGCAAGGAAGATACACCCACCAGTTGTTCTAAGGACTCTCAATGCAGTGGTTGGGCTGAAAAGTGTATTCTTGGTCAATGTCAATCTCCAAATAAGTTCTTTAAATCTGCTAGTTCTGATGCTTTGGATTTATATGCTGTTGATCGTAAGATTAACCTTCTAGTAATTTGTTGCATTTCATCATCATCATCATCATCATCATCATCATCATCATCATCATCATCATCATCATCATCATCATCATCATCATCATCATCATCATCATCATCATCATCATCATCATCATCATCATCATCATCATCATCATCATCATCATCATCATCATCATCATCATCATCATCATCATCATCATCATCATCATCATCATCATCATCATCATCATCATCATCATCATCATCATCATCATCATCATCATCATCATCATCATCTGGAAGTAAAATTTTTGAAGTGCAAGTATTACTTTGTTAAGAAAAGCCTCATCTCGTCCAACAGTTATTAAAACACTACCCATAGGTGAATAGATGAATAAATCACAAAAAGCAATGTTAGTAACGTACATTTGAAGCTGAATTTGAGTGTAAATTGAGTGAGTTGTGCTTAAGTGCAATATATTTTCATCGAATTTTAAGTATTGAACGTGGATTTCCAGTGATTCATCGTTAAAAATCCGTTGATTACGGCATGAATATGGGCATTTCACTTTAATGAGTTTTTTCTGCCAAATATTTGGCCCATAAATTAGAATACTATCTGGACTACATGACATCCACGGCTGAGGAATATTAACGATAAGACCACGATTATCATCATTTATTTATTACAGAAAAGAATCACAATTCAAATCATCAATAACCACTTGGTAGCAAATTTGGACAATCTATCTGTTGACATAATTCGATAACAATCTAAGGAGCAAATTGGTGGCAGAATGACGGCAAAAGTTGTAATGCAAAATTTGCTAGAAAACTGCCTCCCTATCAACAGAAACTATAGAAAATTCCAGTTTCCTAATTGCAGTTAATGTTCCACCAATCTGTACCTTACATTAAAAGCGAGCGTATCAAGCTAGCAGTGGCAAAACCCATCTTGGAAGGATATTATCATTGATTTCTCGGAATCTAAACAAGTAACAATATTCTAAATAGAGCAACTAATTAGCAACAAATTGAGAACCACAAATAAATTTTGTTACTTGAATGATAAATCAATGCCTGATGGACGAGTACATGCTAGCTTGATAGACCTATTAAAAGCTGCTTTAGCAGATTAGCGTCAGTCTAGCAGTAATATTCAAAAAGTCTTGATCTGTTATCATTTTCACTTCTAAATGACACTAATCTATGAATAGTATCTTGGGTTACCCAATTCTTAAATAATTTATCAAGTAAATTTGCAGGTTTTTATGGTGCCTGTCGAACAGACCATCATTGTCGCAACTTTAATAACAGCCATTGTCTCAGCAATCAATGTCAGTGCTTTCGTGGTTGGGATTTGGTACCTGGTGGTTGCAAACGAACTATCAACATGACTTGTTCTGATGATTCCAAATGCCGACGATATGGGACCTTCTGCTTTCTGAATAATTGTCTCTACCCGGAAGACTTTTTTGGTTCATCGAATATCAACCAATCTAACGTCTACGCTGCAAAAAGTAAGTTACTATTCTAAATAATTGAATTTTGTTTGTAATGAATTTGTTTCAAGATATTTATGGATACTGCAAATCAAATCATCACTGTCGGGAGCTGAACAACACCCATTGCTTCGAGGGTAGATGTAACTGCCTATCAGGTCAGGAATATGTCAATGGTTCCTGCGTTAAAGCTATCAACGTATCCTGTTTTGATGATTCCGAGTGCCTATTGCCTAGATCTTACTGTTTTCTTAACACTTGTCTCTACCCAGAGATTTTTTTCGACCCAGTCAATGGATACAACACGAGTCTATATGCTGCACAACGTAAGTTACTTTTAAGATGCAAAATTTTGGTTACTTGCTCTTTTATTCTATCAAAATCATTTTGATGCAATTTTATGGGCTTAATTATCAATTTTATATTATTGCAGGTGTCGGTGGATTCTGTCAAGCTGATCAACATTGTCGGAACATAAAAGGTTTGAAGTGTTTTCGACGAAAATGCAGTTGTGCGAATGATTATTCTATAAACGGAACAGAATGCAACAATGTCACTCTCACTATTTAGTAAAAGCTAATAAATATTGTGGTGCGTTTAATGAATTCACAAAAGATGAATTTTATTAAGTCTATAAGCTCATTTTATTAATTATTTAAATGCCTAGATCATTTCGTCAATCTCAAATGGAAATTTAGCACTTCAACACAATGATGAATTACAGTAAGCCATTAATTGAACAATTTTATTTACAGTTAGAAAGTATTGCATGACCAATCTAATAATTTTTGTAGAATCACAAAAAATCTCTGACTTAAATACGACCGGTTCGAATTTTTTGAAAAAATTCGGAAATTTGACTTTTGTTCATCGAATTTTGCTGTTTATAGGACACTAAATTTGATCGATTCAAAATTCGTTATAAAGTTTAATTTATTATTTAAATTTACTTAAGTAGAAAATATTTCAATTGAATGCTCTAAATTCTAATGAGAATCTGTAATTTAAATTCTCTACTGATGTCATCTTTATTATAGTACTAAATTTGGTCATAAGATCGAGGAAATTGGATTTTAAATCAAACATCAAAAGATAACAAGATAAGGAAGGTATGTATAAACTGTTGAAAAAACGAAACAGATTAAATGATAAATTTTTGAGAGTATACTGCTTCGGACATTCGAATTTCTATGAGACTATCATTAAAGACACAATAAAGATATTTCACTTGCATTTATAATAAAAAATTTTTTTATGGAAAGATATTAGATGAGTATATTAATTTCAATCGATCTTATAGAACTCAGTGAGAAAAATATAAATAATAACCCCATCGAAAAAATCACTCCGTAAATATAATTTTGATTATTAACTTTTAAGTTTTACATATTTAATTTTTACAAGCAAAAAATCATCATATGCTTTAATGTTGTAAGACATCAGGCTTGACTAAATTACTTGAGATTATGTTAAATTTTTGGACATTTAATATTTTTAATAAGTGAAAAATTGTTAAAAAAAAAAAATTATAATTTACTCAAATTTTCAATCCCTTATTCTCTAGTTAACACTTCTAAAATAAGTCTCTTAAAGGGAACAGAAAGTGGAACCATGCGATGCCTAGCGGTGACTTTTAGAACTACTCTACCTTTTTTACTTTTTCTACTTATTCTATCGTTTAATAAATTGTTTTAATTCTAATAATAAAATTTCCCTGAATTTTGGCCTTAAAATTTTTTTAATAATTTAGAAGGAACTCAAAAAAATATTTTTTTCACTTTTGATTGCAGTAATACAGAAATTATTGAACTTATCTTAAATATTGAATACTTTTATTAAAGATTCAAGATATTGCAATTAATATCAGTGGAATTAATTGTAAGATTTCTACAAAGAACATTGTATAAAATTTTAATCTGTTTTTAAAATTAAGACACCTATTTGAAATTCTTCAGATTAAATTTATCTAATATTAATTTGCTTCTCCATTGATATGTGGATCAAATATGAATACTCTAAAAGTTTCGAGATCTACTTTAACGCTAAAATTAAGTTTTTTTCAGATAAAAAATAAATTAGGCAATCGATCAATGTAGTGCTTTACAAAATCATCATTAAATTATTTATCTGAAACATTTTAATAACCCAGACAACATCCAAGTCAGAAGGATTTCTTTTAAAGATGTCTTTTCAAAGACTTCCTTGTGAACTCCAAATATGACGTCTTAAAGACCTCATTTTTCGGAACTCTTAATTAAGAAGTCTTTAAGAAGTTTTTTTTTAAGTTCTATAAGATATCACAGATATGAGCTCTTTGAGAAGTCTTTTTTCCGACTTCGTAAGAGGTCAAAAAAATTAGCTGTTTAAGAGGTCTTTTTTTGGACTTTCCAAGACATCAGAAATATGAGCTCTTTAAGAGTTCTTTTTTTCTGACTTCGTAAGACATCAAGAATAGGAGCTCTTGAATAGGTTTTTTTTTTCTGATTTTGTACTTCGTCAAAATATGGGACTTAAAAAAATTTTTTTCACGTTATTAAAGAATTTTTAAAATGATAAAAAAATAAAAATAATCACATTCGAGTGAACTCATTTCGCTGTATATTTATTTTTGTATTATAAAAATATTATCGTAAATAGCAAAACGTTCAGTAATTCTACTTATTAAAAATTAAATCGAAAAGTATTTTTTTTTATCTTTGGGTAGAAAAGTTGATATCAAGTTTTTTATCATTACTATAAGTCGTTTATAATCTTATGTAAACATAAGAGCTTATGCAGAGAAAAAAAATTTACTATCTCATTAGGAGCAGCTAGCCAAAGCAGACCAGAGGACACCACATCACTGAAGTTAAGACGCATTAGTCATGATAAATACTTGGATGGGTGACCGCTAGTAAATTCATATTCTAAGCTGCGAGCGACACC